CATAGGCTACGGTAAACGCTTCTGCATAAAGCATTTTCCAGGCGTTAACAAAAAAGGCTTGTTTGCCACCTTAGTGGTATAAAAAAATATAAATTTTATTTGCGGACAATATGTCTCTCATCTGCGCAGACTATGAAGAATATTAATACTTGGCAAATTCGTAAGTTCATTGACATGACACTGTGAAATGACATCAGATTTAATGGATTAACTGTATAGAAATTTATTTCCAGGGATAACACATTGACGTTGAATTAATAAGCTAATATAGATGTAGCAGGTTTTGCATTAGCAATTAAACAGTCATGTTTTTATATACATTTTAAAAATGTGACTAAGTTTAGTGATAAATTAAAGGTGCAAATTGTGTGGTGAATTTTGAGATGTATAATAGATATTACCAATTTACAATGTGTAAATACAAGTTGTAGGTAATAATAAATAGTTTTTATTTTTGGAAATAAACAAAAAAATAACGACTTCAATCATGAAAAAAAAAATGAACTAGTAATTTAAATGTTCTAATTTTAAAACGAATAAAATGAATCGATGGATGATGTGAAATTTCGCAAATCGATCCCATATTACGAGTTGTATATTTATTTAGTATATTTACGAGAGTATGTATATTTACTATTTAAGATTGTGTTCCACAAAATAAAACCGATTTCATTTAGGACAAAACCAGTTATTTCAAAACTAGATACTACTACTAAACCGATTTTGATAAAATTTCTATGAAACCAATTTGTAAGGATATTATTTCAGATAAAAAAGACTTTGCCAAGATTATAATTTTATATTTTAATATTAAAACTTTGGTTTATAATAATAACAATTAAAACTTAGTTAAACAAAATTGGTATTTCTTAAGTTTTTTTAGATTTGTATTATTTACCAAAAAAACTGAGTTCTCTTGATATTTTCTATTAAGTGTATACTTTTAAGTTATTTAGACAAATATTTAAATCTTAAATTATTCTTATTCCCTTATTTTCAATATTTAACATCATTTGCTATGTAAATCATTCAGGTTTACTGTTTATTCAAATTGACAACTAATGATTTATAATCGATTTATTAGTATTACAATAATCGCGTTTTCTCATGGGAACCGTTGTCGATGGTCTACGATATGCGATAAAGAATTCAAATGCCGATCCCGTATCTACCTAATTAGCGGTGATTATTTGGAGAATTTTGTGTCCAATAGCCGCCTGACCAATTATTTTTTAAACGGTTGCTATTTTTTTTTCAATGGGTGATAGTGGAATGGTAACCCCGCCTGCTGGAGGGAAAGGATTGTTACATGAATGCATATTACCAGTCCCATTGCTAACAATATACCCTAACAGGTTAACCTCCTAGCAACCATTGTACTGAATTCCAAGTATATTTTTTTATATGGGTGAAAATGGTATGGTAACGGTAATTCCGCCTATGCTAATGGGATACGCTGGTGAAGCACCAGTGAAGGGTAATAGATGAGAATGAAAACAGGGTAGTTAGCCCATCATAATAAATTCATCAGGAATTAACCATGATAGTTTCCAAGTGTATTCATCACGATGGGCTAACCGACCTGCATTTTCATTCTCACCTATTATCCCTCAATGGTGCCCCGCCAGCGTATACTGTTAGCACAGGCACGTTACCATTCTAGTCTAATATTATTTTCTAGTTTTATTTTTAATTACCAATTCCTATCTACGAGATTACAACATCCAAGTAGAAGTGAATTTAGAAAAATATTATTTATATAAATTAACTGAACAGAGAATCAAACCCAAGACAATTTTTATACGAAGCGACGTCTACTATTGGACAGATAACGGCTGATACAATGATGATGATGTCTACCATGTAGTATTAACCTAGTTATAGTACGTATTTCTGGGGGGAAAGGGATTGTTAGTAAAGGAGTCTAATGAATCTATTGCTAGAAATACACCTTATCAGGTCAACCTCCATGTGGTTCCACCTGGAAACCATCGTGATTAATCCTTGTTGAATTCGTCACGATGCCGCGATGGGCTAACTGACCTGCTTCATACTCACCTATCATCTCTCACTGGTGCCCCGCCAGTGTATACCGATAGCGCGGGCGTTACCATTCCATTATCACCCATTAAAAAAATAGCATGTATTTCTTTTGTGTCATCAAATATCACATCTGTAGTAACTAAACTCAAGTTGTACAAAGATTGTATATTTGATGTTATTTTTTTTTAATATAATCCCCCCTCAAAACAATACACTATATCTACACAGTGCATTGGAGTCTCTAAGGGATATCAATGAACTATATTTTACCCGAGACTTCGTCCACATAACTCGGATATTTTCAATGATCAGGATAGAGTATACTAAATTCCATAATGATTGGTTAAGTCGTAAATGCACTAAGTAACAAACAAACTCACTTTTATATTAACAATATAGTAATATTATATTATAAGGGTATTTTTTTTAATATAATGACTTCAGAAATAGTGATGCATACATGCGTATGAGACGAAACTAAAAACGACGATGATTGAACTAACCATTGGAAGATGAAAATCGCTACATTACTAACATCGTAAGAATTGAAAAAAAAAAGTTTGACAATAGACTATTGGTAATATAATTTGGTCATGTGGTCCCGTCATAGAATAGGCTACCCCTTCCCCGTGATTGTCGTAGGAGTCGATTAACAGAAGGCGAGGGATAGTCAGATGTGTTCCTTCTAAAACATCTCCAAAGCCTAACTGCGGTTGCCAATCCGCCTGCCAATAGTGGCAACTGCTGGCAAAACTATGGCTTATGTTCAGCAGTGGACGGTTAATGACTGATATGATGATGTTACTTGAAAAAATTCAATGGGAGTACTAACCATTTTATAGATTCTCTGTATACGAAAAATATGTAAATTATTCTAAAATTTTAACATATTTAATTAATTGGTTAATTAATGAGAGAATACTAAAGTTATATTTATTCATGATGATATTATTAATTCTGACTAAATATTTAGGTGATGAGATGCATAAAATAAATTCTTCACATTCAATGTACTTTCACAAACATGAATAATACTAACGTCTGAAATGACGATGGGAACAAACAAGTGATAATGGCTGTTGAAATTGATAATTCAATAATGAATCCAGATCCTTTCATCCAAACGATTGATAACGACAATATCATAATGATATATTTGATAACGGAGGCTCCGAAATTTCTATCGCTGAAATGTTTGCCTAAAACAAAGAAAGGGTCAGAACCATAGTAACAATAGTCTCAGTGGAAAATATAAGAGAATCTGACGCACAAAAAGGAAATAAAATAATTTTGCAGCTTTATATTACAGCAATAAAGTGTTTATGTAACAGCTGATACGAAAATGGCGGAGCTGAGAGCTGGGGTCGGCGGCCGTACAGCTGCGACGCTATCTAGGATCCTGACCTCCGCTACAACCCCAAGCTCCCGTCAGCCTTATCTCAATAAACGAGGTCACTCAGCAATACACTATAGACAATAAACAAGTCGAACAATATTAATTACTTATAAAGCGACCGCATATCAATTTGAACTCGATCGAATCTTAACGAAGCGGACTCGACGATCGTTAATTGAGATAATGGATGGGGGAGATTGCCAAAAACGAGCAAAAATGTTTTTAAAGCAAATAAAAGCGGGCATGCGCCCGTGCATGGAACCAGTTTTCTGAACGCGGCCCGGGCCGACACGAATAAGATAATCAACTGAGCGGGTAATTTCAGAGTATAAAAACCGATCCGGCTTCGGCATGCCTTCGTCGGAATAATTAATATTAAACAAACCTGAACGCACCCAGAAGGTATGTATATAGGTAAGTATTGTATAAAAAAGATAGCTGATGGACTATTAAAAAATTGAACGTTCGTCATAAATAAACAATATGTTAACTAACTAAAAAAAAAAACATTAGAAACATTTAAGTTTGTTTTATAGCAGAATAACTTGTGTTTCAATTCCTTCTGTCCAAAAACAAATTGAAAGATACTTGAACGTAGATTACTTAGACAAGTCACGGGTCCCGAGCATGATAAGCAGAATTGATGGATGACAATGCGCCTGTTGTATCGGGCCCAACAAAAGAATAGATAATTAATTCCACGATGAAAGTTAACGAAAAACACAAGAAACCGACATGACGGGACATCAAAAACAAATCATAGATACAAAACGAAGAATACATTACATGTGAAATAGAAGTCCAATAATAAGGTTTAAATAAAATGAGATATTAAATAATTAGGACTTAAGAAAAATAAGCTATAAAATTTGCTTAAATTTGAATAAACAGTATTTAATGATAGCGATGTCGAATAAGACGAAATTTATGACAGCTAAACGAGTGAAGGTGTGTTTATGTCTCTACACACTAATATATATAACGTAGCGATAGGTATATAATGAAGCTTCAATCCATATTAGGTGGCTGCTTAATTATAATCAGACCCGTAATAACATTTGATACGATCTTTAAAATGGTTCGTTACTGAAGAATCTTGTTTTGATCGCGCTTGTTTCTAATTTCAGATCACCGAGCAGATTGTCATCGATCGCATTGCAAATTAGTTCATGTATAACAGCAATATAATTAAGTAACAGTCGCAAACGACCATGTTTGTGATCATTTTTCCAAGTGAAGACCATTGAAATTTCAATAAGAGTAAATGAACTCGGATCTTTTTTTTACGGTTAACATAATGATGGCCATGTGGCAGTAATTTTGGCAGCTGTAAATTGCCTTAAGATATGCCATGCAAATTTCCAAGGGCATAATATACATAAAATCAATAAATAAGAATATGGGTAATAAAATGTTAAATAATTGTTAGTAACGTGGATATAAATCGAATAGACGATTCTGTTTTTTTTTATTACTTATTTCGAATTCGCACTGCAGTAAATATTAGCAAGTACCAAAACTGGCTGAATATTTGGAGATAATAGGCGTTGATTGTACTTACGTGTCAGCTAAATGATACAGGCATCCATGTTTCGCGTGACGAGCTCTCCTTGGTGACGGCAACTTGCTGTAACATCCCCCACCTCGAGGAGATCGGCACATGTACCCGGTCCCCACGCACTCAGCTGTATTACAGTAACACCGCACTCCATCTGTGTCACTATCGGCTTTTGAATCTGAAAAGAAAAAAAAAAACAATATTCACATATTGATGCAATTTCAAATTAAGAATTGTTGATTCATTATAAACAACAATATTGAACAATCAATTGATCGTTATTTCGCAAGAACAAATAAATTGTATATTTATATTACCGAATAAATTAATAAAAATACGAAAAGAATTTCCTGTATTGGAAGTACCACAATAGTGTATATTTGTGAAAAGTTGTTTTCGAAAGAATCGTGTTAAGTTTGAAGGGGAAAGGAAATTATTGCAAAATGTACGAGGAAGTGCAATCAATATAAGCAGTAAACACAATGCTTGTGCCGACATCCTGGCGCCTTTGATGCTCGTAAAATTGATAGTGTTCGATTTGTAGAACCTAAGTTTACCTATGCGTTGTTAACAGTTTCCAGCACAACTAACGTCATAGTCGTTTACAGGATAATAAACACAAACTAAATAGTACTAAGGAAACTAACGTTACGAATATAAACCGTTTATCCGAGCTGTCGATATACAGACATAAACAATATCAAATGTTATATGTAACTAAAATTTATTTTGGATTACAAGATTTTTTCTCCTAACGACGACAAGCCAATGAACCGGTAAAAATAACATACAGCTGGTCCGTGCTGCATATCTTTTATGAATAATGCGCACGTCATACTCCACGAGCCCCTACATAAATATCCTACAACGGCCAGCCTCCGACCGCATTCAATGTAAATGCTTCGACTCCAGACGATGAAACAAAACGAAATTAATTTCAGAGGGACGCCGCTTTATTTGCTCTCCGGACCGATAAAATGCAAGGAAGACCCCCCTTGATGTCCGGCATCTTTGGAATATCTTTTTCGTTCACGGAATATACTTTTTTTTAAGTCTAATTTTTTAATGATTAGTTGTTCAACTGTCGATGCGCTCCAGTGGGACATCGGTTAAGAATCTCGATAAAAACTTAACCCTTCCAAATTAGCTGGTATAATCAAATTTTAGTGGGTAATTATCATCAGGTTTATTGAAATCTTATTTGGGTAATCGTTTTTAAGAGGAATGAAATTACTTCTGTTACAGACATAATGTATATCTATAGCTATGTTTATGCTCATTACATAGGAATAATAAACTATTTAAAAGTTATGTTTAAAATTACAAAGACTACGAATCAAGAAACAAACGTGCAAAGTAATTAAAAGTCAATGATACGTAGTCGTACAAACATCGGTGAAGACCATTATAGTTAAATAATTGAATCGTTGCGAGAGAAATTGAAAACTTTTGATTGCTGAATTTATAGCACACGCAATATTGGATTTTGTATTACTTATAATAAATTAAACATACAGACACCAGGCGGAATAGAATACGAGTATTAATAGCAAAGTTAAGTTTATACCGGTTGTCTATTTGATTTCATAACTACCGCCTGTATTAAACATTCGACGCACTTTTTGATGTTCTAAAAATAACGAGCTTAAATATTTACTCATTAACTATACAATTAGCGTTATCAATTCATCGTACATTATGTTGGATGGACGCCATTAGTTCGGATGTACAATCAATTTCATAAAAAAAGAAGGCCACAATCGGAACACCGAAGGATAAGGTAAATAAAAAACAAATAAACAAAACAGAAAAGGTCCCGGCATGTTATTTGGAATTGATAAATGGCTGTCCAGAGATGGGTGGGAAAGGGATGAAGCGAGACTAAAAAGAGACAGATGAACTAATGAGTTCAAGACGAGACTGGTAAGTATGGGATAAAACATTATAAGATAAAGAAAAGTGCTTCTTATAAGCTTTTGTTCTTCAAACTTTTGTTGTATAGATTTATTAGTGTAGTATTATTTCCTCGATTTGTTGCATGTATTTTATAAACAAATATTTATATATTAAGTTAAAAATTTTCTTTGTGTTCACAAGAATACATTTGTGACACATCTCCAATTTTTTTTTTAATGTGATGATACTGGATTTACCTCAATGGCGACGCGTGTTCAGTAGAGGTTTTTGTACAATTGGTCACCCTGCTGACGCGTGCTACTAAACGAGGTGTTAACTTTGTGTTTCCGTTGCTTGCATTACTAATTGTGATGATGAAAGGATTTTTTGGGGAATTTAACTCAGTTGCTTACAGGGTTTCGTTTCGTTTGAGTTGTCAAAGTGTAGTAGAAATAAATATAACTTCTGAATATTATAGTTCAAATAGAACAATATTAAATGAGTTCTCATAATGCGAATGACAAAGTAGATTAACAATAACAAATGAGTACAAAAAATGGAAAAGCGCAGCAATTTTAGATAACATGCTTAGGAATCTATGATCTGTCGACTTATAAAATTTAAAGAGGATAAATATAGAAAGTATCCAAATAGGGTAGGAGTATTTTATTTGACCAACGTATCAAGATTCGATCGGAAGCCGGTTTTAGCGAATCACGATTGAAATGTTCCTCGGAAGAGTAGTCGAAGCAGATCGCTTTAAGAAGATAACTAGCGCCGCTCCGTTTGCCACGTCCCTTCAATTTCATTACAGAACACTGCAGCAAGTACATGACGTCTAAGATATCAAGTTCCAAGCTCATTTCAGTATTTCGTTCATTTGAGATCCGATTCAATTTAGATTGTACAGCAAGATAGTACGCGAGTTATGTGCAGAAATAGTCTGCTATTTCTGTCTGATTATCTGTGAAGGTCTATTTTAAATCTTATTGCTTTCATTGGAAACATTTATTGCCTCATATAAAAATTGTATTGAGTTTACTTAAGGAATGTGGTCAAATATATTGCATCAAAATATTCGAATAACTACCGGATAGTAACAGCTAACTAAAGTTGCGACAACGGCTTTCTCTTAGTGTTCACACGCTGTCCAACTCCGTTTTATCTAGTACTTTATTACGTTAATAATATTTGTGGCGCGCGCCGCAGCCGGTTTCTCTACTATTCAGATTGGAGCCAACATAACAAGCTTTATGTTGTTTGGATGACGCGGAAAAAGCAAGGCTATGTTGCGGCCTTGTTGTGGAATTCAAATGGTCGCTATTCATCTACATTTCGGAAGATAGAACTTTCCAAAAATCACGACACGACGCTTAATAGACTTCCGTCGTTGGCCCTATAGCGTATCTATTAGTAAGCTCAATATGGCAAAACGCCACCGGCGTCATGACTATCATTGGCGGGTTGCAGTCATATGGAATGCTAAGCAGACGCTTGGAGCTAACTCAATAATTGTAGGCACAGTTAATTTATATTGCTTTGCCTCGCTTTATCGCCTGTATCGCCGCCGTTGATCGAATCACGACTCATCCTCTAATTGCGCTTGCTGAATTATCTTCCGTAATGGATGTCCTCGACGGTTCGTAATTATCCATTGCGGCGCCAGTAATCTGGCCGCGGCCGCGGGCAATTTACATCGGAATGCGAGCCGAGAGAGGCCTGTCTGTGGGTCGAGTAGCGTTTCTGCAGCTATCGCATGCAGCGATCATGTCTCCCCTGCCGCTAGTACCATCGGTTGCCGGTGCACTTTGACAAATCGCAACGATAATCTTCGATCAATAAATAGATCCACGATCTAGCTAAAGAAATCTTAGGAAACGACTTTAGGAATTACGAGTAACTATATACCAGATTTAGCGATACTTCGCGATCTAACATATAGGGCGGGGAAAAGGCCGATGAACTAGCAATAAATGCAGACATTATGATAGACGAAGGCGAACGAAGCCGCCTGCCGCAAAGGGCTGTCTGCATCCAGTCAAGATCACATCCTTTGAAAATTGCTTACTCGCACGTTGAACCGTTAACAACTACCACGATCGCTAAACGTTTATTATACACAAGTTGCTTGTTCAGAAAATCCTATCTTGCAGTGATGTAATTCTATGGCGGCGTTTGTTTAACATCAGTTTAGAATAATTCAAGTCCGCGTTGTCTGCATTGATGTATTGGAAATGAGAGGTCTATCCGTCTCAAGTGTCGATACGTATATTTGTCTCTAGCCCTTATTACAAAGGAGCAGAAGCTTCAATTGATCACGAGTCAAATTACCAAGTGTGATCTAAGTATGCGTTATTTATCAGTCATTCTGTGCACGTCCTGTCCGTCGAGGTTATCGAGGCGCTTTCACGCCACTCGAATAACATTTAAATAATCAAACGCGTTCATCGAACTCCTAAAAGTGCAAAATAAACTAAGGAAGTGACTAGGACCGAATCAAATGCCACCTGTTCGATTGAGAATCAGAGTATTCATCGGATCATTAGGCTACAATGGAGCACAAACGGACGGCTACCTGACCGGAGCGCAGTTGTTTTTTTTCCCTTCACCGACACGGGCTGTATTGACTAGCGCAACAGAGAAGCTTTATCGGGCATAAAATGGGCTTCGATCATTGAGATAGGTCTCCTTTATGATTGTGTAGGCGACATAAAACGTCATATTCACAATGCTCTCCATTTAACGCTCCTCAAAGGGGTATTTGTCGTTTTAAATCATAACAGCTGTGTCATCTGGTCGATTGGTTGCGTGTGCGCGTGCCGACTTTCCATAAACATTTAGCCCTTTGTTGATGTCTCGTTTGATTCTCGAGGCATATTTCGAGATTTACCGTTTCAATTTATTAAACAAATATTAGTTGACTGTCGCGTTGTGTTATTTTATAGGTGTTAACAGGTAGATGTAGGCGACACAGGTGGTTTATTAAAAGGACTGAAAAAGTTTCATGTTGTTTTTAACATGTTGGCTGATGTGTGAAATATTAACACCTTTGTCTTTGGAAAGTTAGCACTTCTGTAGTTCATTGACTTTCGCTGCGTGTGGTTTATACACTGATGATATACTTCAGTGCTCTTATTGATAATATAGGCCATAAAGGTGATAATGAATCTGAAGCAACGCCGATTGAAACGAGCCGTACCTACACAAATATGTTTCAAGATATACGCACCAGATTGAAAAGCAACATAAAAAGCTTAATCAATATTTCAACAGCGACCGAAT